AAGGAAACAAGAAAAAAAAAAAAAAAAAAAAAAACACATCTTAGTAAAACCAATACCTTCTCAGCTTTGCGTCGAAGCTAAAACGCTTTTCTGGGAAAATTACTTAGCGTACTCGGATTTTCAAAATTTCTTTTTCAACACTCGGTCACCAGACTCCAGAAAAATTATTGGCGAAGATCGGAAAATTTTTGCCTCTCGCCTACGAGCATTTTAAAATTTTGACCGTTTTTGAGAAAAACGCTCGCTAAAGCCAGCGTTTTACGACTTAAGGTTTGAAATTTTTATCAGACCCGCCAAATGACATTCCTGAGATATGATTAAAAAATCAATTCAATTCGTTCATTTTTTACCGTTTTACGGGCTTTTTTTTTTTTACGCGCTCGAGACGCCAGGTCTCGCCGCCCGAAATTCTGACGACACTTTACGACATGAAAACGATTTTTATTACGATTCACAATCATACCACGGCGTTCTGTACGTCCCGAGGAATCGCCAAAAATCCGAAAATCCGAGATTCCACCAAATTAGAATATTAATAATTTTTGTGTAGACCAGGGGTGTATTTAAGGAAGAAATGGGCCCCCCTTAAACCAGCGATATCAATATTTTTTTAGGCAACTTCTAATAAATAAGGACCTAATGTCCTTTTTTTTCATTATTACTTTAATTTTTAGCAAAAAAAATTCTATAACATGTTTAACAAAGTAAAAAATTTTAAATACCCTCCTAAAATAATTTTTGAATAGGCCTAAAAGGAATACCTCATTAAAATACGTCAACCTTATACCCAATACATTTTACTATATTCTTTTTTTGAATTTTCCTGATTTTAATAATAACATTTTTAATACATTAATACATTTATATTTTTATTACACTGATTCTTGATGTAATATTTTTTCTGCAAAACACTTATTGTGCCCGGCGTAGCCGGGTACCCCTACCTGAATCAGTGGCCTACTTATGATGACGGCCCGAAGAGGCTTCGGCTCTTAGGGCTCTGGGTCTATGGCGAAGCCCCAGTTAGGCGGAGCCCCAGCTAGGCGGAGCCTAGTGTAATATAATATTTTTTGGAAAAAAAATTTTGGACTTTATTTTATCTTCACGGTGAAAATGGCTACTGTATAATATTTCTCTGTTAAAATTCTCGATTTTATAACATAACTCTTATATATATATATATATTATTATATAAACATAACTCATTTATTTGACACACTTTTCTTGTAAATCGGACCATTTCCCTTTATATATTTATTTATTATAATACAAATTATACATTATTCATATAATACACTTATAAATCATAAAATTGGTAATCCGGATATAAATAAGGAAATAGGAGAGCATTTAGCTTTTGGAATAATCCACCAATTTTTTTTAAATTAAACATTATCAACATATTTGAACCAAAGCGTTTTTTATGATAGTGATTATAATCACTGTCAGATATCATCTATACTGGACCCAACTATGCCACATCTCCACTGTGCCGTAACCCCATTGTGTTGAGTTTTTTTATGTGTATTTAAAACACAAAAAAAATATACAATATTATATCGTTCGAATTAATTGCTATTTAATATTTATAGATAACTGAAAACAATGATATTGTTACTATGGCTTCAAAGAAATATAGTTCAGCTCTTAATATTCTATATGACTGCTTTGAAAAGTATAAATGTTTTCCAGAAATTCCAAAACGTAAGTAATATCATACAAATAAATTATGTAACAGACAATAAAAACGATAATAAGATATATAAAACAAAAGTTGATACTTATATTATTTGTATCGTATCATTAAATTTATAACGGTGTTTTATTAAAACGTTAATTAAAGCATTATTTCCCCTAGGAAAAAAAATTTTAGAAATATTTTTAATATTAATTATGAATCAAATCATTTATTTTCTTTTTAAAAATTCTCAACTGCTCCCAAATACATAGGAGTGTACAGTCTAAAAAATATCACTATATGCATCTTATAATCAATTTTATTTCATAATATTTTCTTCATATTTAAAAAGAATTTTCACATTCTATTAATAAAATAAAATTTCAGAGACATTGGACCATGATTTATTTCGTGATTCTACGATCCAATATTTAACCCAAGTTATTTCTAAAACTTTTACTCCCGAAATAATGGTTGGAAGTGTACAAGGTAATATTTTAGGTAACATGGACAAAGATTTTGGGAAATATTGTTCCGCAGCTTATTATACTTTTTTGATATCTGAAAATAATGTAAGTATAAACAATAAGACAATTATTAAAAAAAATCACGAGACTGATAGAATTATAAACTATATACATCCTGGTTACCAATCATGATTGTTTGTTTTTATGTTTTAAATAGACAAACTCTATCAAAGAAATATTATGTTGATATTATTCACTATGATGATAAATAGATTTATTATTGATTATCGTTTATATTTTTGTATATGAACTAATAATTAAATTAAATTTCTATTAATAAACTATTGAAAATAATATATTTGTCCTATCAAAGGGAATTTTTTTTTCAAACACTGCTGAAGGAATATTGGATTTAATAACATTGAAAAATTTTTCTCGTGCTAAAATAGGGCTGTACAATTGCTTTAAAAACAATAATTTAATTTATTTTATAAAAAATCGCAGTAAGTTAATTTTTTTTATAAATAGTTTAGTTTTTATTTTATAAGTAACCAAAGTTTATTAAAAGTAACTATTTATTTTTGATTTTTTATAGGATCTTTTGATGAATTTTTAAATGGTTTAAGAAAAAGAATTATTTCTGCCGATGCCCTCTCTAGTAGTGTTGATAAAGAAATAATTAAATTATTAAAAGAAGATTCATCAAATTTTAAGAATGAAATCATCTATTGTTCTTCTATTTTTTATTCAATATTGTTTGAAGTGACCGAACCTGAAGTAAGTATAAAAATATGTTAGATAAATGTTTGAGAGTTTAATAAAACAGTTATGTAATCGCGGGAGTTGAATAATATATGGTTAATGATGCTTTATACTTCTATTGAATTTTTGAGTTTATATTAATTATTTATTAGATATGAGGTTGTTGGTGTTTTGAAAACATAGATTGAAATTCGTTCTAACCTTAATATTCTATATCTTACAAAAATATTTCAAGTAATTCAATATTGATGATTTTCTCTACTTGTTTAATGCTCCATAATTGTCGTTGGGGCCAGGGGCACTAAATAATATAGTGCGTACGGGCTAGTTGCACTAATACCGATCAGTCTGCGTTGTGTAATGCCGTGTAAATAGAATCACTGTAGGTGGGAGGGTTCTTCTGCATAAAACCAGAGATCTATGTTGTGAAAAATGTGTAAGTGTATATCCTTAAACTAAATAAATAAATAATTAAAACCCTTTTTTTAAAGTAACTTTAATATTAATTTCAATAAATAAGTTGACTAAACAATTTAGCCCTTCTGGCTTAACAAATAATATAAATATAAACTCTGAAAAAATATAACTAAATAACAACAAAAATTCAATAAATCAATAATAAATAAATATGATTTCCAATAATATATGACGCTCAACTCCAATAAAAAAGAATGGTATAAAAATATTGAAAATTAATTAAACTTGTAATGACTAATCTGTTCAATAAATCACAATCAATAATAACTACACTAAATTACAAAAGGTAACACAAAATTCAATAATACATGAATTTCAATAGTACTCACAATTCGCAAAGCTGCTCGCCAGAGATGCTACCTATCACTAAAACACGGACCACGACAAAACAAATGAACTTAAGAACTACAATTTTGGTAACACAAATATAAATATCATAATTGACTAGCTTAATTTTGCTAATTAGTAGCAACAAACTACAATAAGTTCTTCTGTCAGCCAATTAGTAGCTTTAAAGAAGTCACAGTTAGTGCAACAATATTTTTTATTTAAACTGTATATTATCAATTCTATGATATTAAAATAACTTCTTCTTTTTACAAAAATTAGATTACGTTTTCACACAAAAAAAAAAAGAAATGAGAAATTCAACAATAGAAAAACAAAAATGTATATATACTGGTTATTACGCAATACAATGTTGTACTGTACTAAAATTATCTAAAAAAAACCCAGCACAGGGGGGTCGCGGCACAGTGGTGACGTGGCATAGTTGGATCAAGTATAATGATATCTGACAGTGATTAAAATCACTATCAAAAATAAACGCTTCGATGCAAATCTTTACCTTTCTCATGTCATTAACAATTATTATTAATTCATAAACAAATAAAAATTAAGTTGGTAGAATATTTCAAACAAAGCAACAAAAAATCAATTGCACTTGAACACTAGAGCCTGTTATGAACTTAAAAAATAAAATTTGTAATAGAATATTTACAATTTTTTGAGCATAACTATTTTTATTATTATGATTATAATTTAAAATAAATAGATATTAAAAAAAAGTTTTTCAGACGGATATTTACACAGAAAATTTATATTTGATATACAGTCCATTTAAAAAAATCATAACAATAATAACATACAGAATAATTCATTAAGAATAAAACACTCATTTTCATGAAAACTATTTACAATATTTAATTTTCAAAAACATAAACTTTAATTTTCTTTAACAGGAAACTCTTTTTTTAGCTATATAATAGAAAAAGAAATCTCAAAATATTTTGATCTTACAATTTTTTTAATCAAAAAAAAATTATTTGATTGTTATAGTATTACAGTTTATTTGTTATAGTATTTTAATATAATATATTAAAATACTATAACAAATTCTACTCTATATTATATAGTAGGATAGGTATAAATTGTACTATATATGTGCACTCTGCCCGCGTTCATACCTAATCAATGTATTGACTGCTATAACGGATGAACGGACGAATTGGATATAAAAAAATTATATGAACAAAATTACTTAAATATATTTTTATTCTAAAAGTTTATTTTCTATATGCATTTTTAAGTTTTGAACACCCCCTGTATAAGGGGAATTGGTCCGGTTAAAAAAAATAGTATGTCGCATAAAAGAAGAATACAAACAGTACTCAATTAAAATAAATTATAATGATCCATACATTTTTCAAAAATGTATAACATTATAAATTTAAAAAAAACACAGCACAGGGGGGTCGTGGCACAGTGGTGACGTGGCATAGTTGGGTCCAGTATAGATGATATCTGACAGTGATTAAAATCACTATAAAAAAAAAACGCTTCGATGCAAATCTTTAGATAGTGTTTAATTTTAAAAAATTGGTGGATTATTCCAAAAGCTACATGATCTGCTAGTTCATTATTAATATCTTATTAAGATAAAGTATGTCGAATGAAAAAGAGATTATTAAAAAATATTATTTCTCATAAAAAAATAATGTTGATCCATACACTTTTCAATATGTCATAGCATTATAAAGTTAAAAATGTAAAAAATAAAATCGAGAATTTTCACACAATAATAGCATTCGGTAGCCATTTTCACAGTGAAGATAAAATAAAGTCCGAAATTTTTTTTTGCATAATAAAGTAAATTACATTAGCTTTAATTTAAGATATATATATATATAAGTGTCAGATTTTCCGGAAAACTTTCAAAATTTAAGTTGAAAAAGTAAATTTTTTGTGAAAAAGTTGTCATTTTAAATCCCCCCCTGTGGGCAGGTAATGAGTCAGATATGAAAAATAAATATACCAAATGATAAGTAAAGAATATAAAAGATCAATAAAATAAAATTATATTGATTTGTTTATTTTTGAAAAAGTTATGGAAGTTTTAAGAAAAAAAGTGAAAAAATTTCGAAAATTAGCAATTTTTAAATTTGTAATTTTTTTGGAGGTTTCCCCCATTTACAGGGAACGAGGGAATTTTTTTTCAATTTTTGAGGGTAATGTCTTCAACTAGATACGATTTGTTATCTTTTGACGTATCGTTGAAAGAAATCCGTTCGGTGAGAGCTGAGAAAAAGTGGTAACAGACACAAAAAAAAAAAAAGAAAAAAAAATAAAAAAAACGCATCTTAGTAAAACAAATACCTTCTCAGCTTCGCATCGAAGNAAAAAAAAAAAAAAAAAAAAAAAAAAAAAAAAAAAACACATCTTAGTAAAACCAATACCTTCTCAGCTTCGCATCGAAGGTAATATAAAAAAGAATTTTTTACAAAAATCGTATTTTTTTCATGAACTTTGCTGTCCGTTTTCACCATGAAAACAAAATAAAGTCCGAATTTTTTTGTTTTATAATTAAGTATATTATATGAGCTTTAATTTAAGATATATATCAGTATATAAGTGTCAGTATTTCTGGAACACTATCAAAAATTAATTTTAAAAAGTTAATTTTTTGTGAAAAATTTGTCATTTTAAATCCCCCCCTATGGGCAGATTGATGGTCAGATTTTTCAAAAAAATATACCAAATGATATGTTAAGACATTATGTATCTATAAAAAAAATTTATATTGAATTGGTATTTTATTTTTTGAAAAAATAATGGCAGTTTTAAGTAAAAAAATTTTAAAAAACCTAGCACAATAGGGTGGCGACACAGTGGGGTCGTAGCATAGTTGGGTCCAGTATAGATGATATCTGACAGTGAAATCAACACCATAAAAAACACTTTGATGCAAATCTGTAGATAGTGTTTAATTTAAAAAAAAAATTGTCAAAAAAGTAGGTCAAGTGAAAGCTGAGAAATTAAATGATAGCTACAAAAAAAAACTACATAGTAAAATAATATTAATATGAATTTCTTCTTGTAGGAAACTACAGTAATGGGATCCTTGATATTATTTGAAGTTATTGAATCTAAATGAGATAAAAATCAAATGAGTTAAACATTTTTTTCTAACTCAAAAAGAATTAAGAAAAAATTCAGTGCCACAGGCGTGAAATACACAATTGTTACCGTCTCAGAAACCATACGTCGAATTCGTCACTTAATAAAAATGGAAATTTAGCTAGTTCAAATTTTAAAATTATTTTTCTCGACTTCAAAGAAACAAAAAAATTTAAATATGTTTAAAATTTTATACTATGTCAATTAGATTGATATAATATTTATGAAAATCAGTGTAATCCCCTTATAATAAAATAAAATACAATACAAATCTAAGAATTTTAACACAAAAATAGCATATTTTTGAATAGGGTAGCTATTTTCATCATGAAAACAAAATAAAGTCCGAATTTTTTTTTTTTAATATTAAAGTATATTACATAAGCTTTAATTTACGATATATATAAAAGTGTCAGTATTTCCGGAACACTTTCAAAAGTTAAGTTGAAAAAGTTAATTTTTTGTAACTATATTTATGATGTACGTAGACAGCGCGCCGCGCCCGCGTCCATTAGAAAAGACAATATTTACCCCTTACATACATATATAATTGTATTAAAACATTACATTAAAATATTTACATCCATAATATCAATATATTATAAGCTATATTATAAATTATTAAAATATTTTTTAACATTTTCGTTTGGATGATGGACCACGTATTGTTTCATCCTCATTATTAGTAAAATCATCATCATCGGACTCTTTTTCATCAATTTGTTGTCCACAATTTAAACACGAAAGGCCAAAACATGTTTTGCACGCGGCAGAACACTTTAATCCTTGTTTTCGGCAGCCACATGCTGGTCCACAATTTTTCATGCACGCACATGTAATTTTTTCCAGTATACATTTTGGCGCTGGTTCATTCCATGAAAATATTGGTTCCAGTCCATTCTTGGTTGTTTGCCAGCCCCAATCTTTAGCATTTTTTTCTTCTCCTAGCCACGTTTGAACCCGATGATACGTTCTATATATATACTGTTTCAAGGCTTCTTTTGACGGGGGTAAGCTTGCCAAGTTAAATTTATTTGTCGCCGTTTTTCGGGTGAATAGTAAATATCTGTATTCATCAATAT